CTCGCAGACGTTGGCCACCCAATTGGTACTCCAGCTGTGATCACAAGCGAAAGCAGGGGCAAGGTGCCTTGGGACCACCGTTGCAACACTACCTTTAGCATCTCGTCCTCCTCGCTTCTCACACTTTTCCCCAGTCCCTGTCGCATTCCTTCCCCCCTCCTCTCCTTAAATCCAGCTCGTCGCCGTCGCTTCTTTCCCACCTCCTGCAGTCGTCTCTGCCACTCCACCTCCTGCAGTCGTCTCTGCCACTCACACCTTTCTTTTTTCATCAATCAAATCAAAGGCTAAGTAACATAAAGGTAATGTATTGGACTGCAAATCCACGAATGATGGTTCGAATCCGTCCTGAGGCTTAGCCTACTTACTCGGCAAGTTGACCAAGTTGAGTTCCTTAAGAGATTGATGTTGCCTGTTTAGAAGTGGATTCGAACCACTGACAGAAGGATTTTCAGTCCTTTGCTCTAACCAACTGAGCTACCTAAACAAAAACAAAATCGACCTATGATCAATTCAGAAAAGGTAATTCAAAGATTACTAAGTACCAAGGCACATTTTAGTAATCGTACACCTACTTCAGACTTTCAGCCATATCTGTACGGATTACGCAATGAAATCGCTATTATTGATTTAGAAAGAATACTTCTTTATTTACGAAGAGCTTGTAATTTCATTGAGTATATAATTCGTTCAAATGGTCATTTATTATTTGTAAATACTAATCCACAAAACAATCACAGACAAGGCAGATGAGCCGCGTCGGCCCTGGGATCATAGGCACCTGTCTCGACCACTGCCGTACACCCTCCTCGCTGCATCCTTTCGCGACTCCCCACCTGGCCTGCGGCCGCCTCTCATTTTCCCCATCCTGTCCGCCCCGCACTAACAAAAATCCACATTACCCAAGCAGAAATCCCCGCAAAAACACAAAGCCGTAGACGGAGCTGAAGCTATGTGCATGTCAATTTAACTTCTGGGAAAGATCACTTTTGCCTTGTCAAGTTGTCAAGCGTTTGTGTTCCTACTGGCAGGGACGGAACCTTTTTTTTTTTGTCTGTTTTGTTTTAAAGCTCCCATCTATTCACGAAGAGCAGCACGTGCCTTGTGAAATTATTCAGAAACGATTTGGTTGATGATGTTACTGATGATAAGATGATGATGATGATAATCTATGAGAATCTATGAAAATGCTAGTGGACTGAGGAGATGACAGTCACACTCGCTCGGCGCATGCGCCGCTCTGTAACCTAGCAGTGGGGGTGTGAGGCCTGGTAGAGACTAGGTATCGAGGATATGATAGCTGAGGCAGGCTAAGGTGGTGCTGTTAAATCACACTAAGGTAGTTAGTTCTCTCAGGGGATAATGGTTCTCATAATGATTTTGTTCTCGGCTGCTCTCCCCGGTCTTGAGAATGCCTTAGGTTTCTGGGTACTTCTTGCAACTCACTTTAGGCTTCTTTGATGCTGTTATATTCATGGATCTGCGGTTCTTCGATGCCAGAACGACGCTGGCTGGCCGCTGGTGCTGGGGGGTTGCCCTGTAACCTGTTGATAACAGGAGTCTGAGGCCTGGTAGAGAGATCTCCGGATGCCTTGGGGTGGGCAATCTAAGGGAAAACCAAGGGTTGCTGTCGGGACGACGCTGGCCGGAGCTGGGGTGAGTCGTGTTGCCCTGTAACCTATCAGGGTGGGGGCATCAGGCCTGGGAGAGCTCGGCAGGGAATAAAACTGTGTTAGAGAATTTTAGAGTGGTTTGTTAAGGATTTCAGCGGTTCTGAGCATTCAAAGGACTTCTGTGGCTTTTCTTTTGACTTAGTAATTGCTGCTTGAGTAGCCCAGCAATAGGTCAGCAGTTATCCATGTTTTTTCCTGGATTTTCCTGAGCTCCTTGTCCTGGTATTTCAATTGACTTGTATAATTCTACAGGGTTTGACAACGAGATCTGCACACCGTCACCCATCTTTAAATAATCGTTATAATGACTGCCAAGAGGGGCTTACTTCGGATTGTGCAGTTATGTTTCGGTCCTCTGCAGACAACTTCTGGATTCAGCATCGAACACAGTACGCAACGATTTGGAAAGCGTAGGGAGAAAGAGAGAGAGATTATGGAAACATTGGACCTCGCTGCACTACTCACCAAGTGTGCAAAATGAGACAGAATCCTCCTCTGGAACATGGAAAGATACAATGCTATATGTTTTGTCGTTTGTGCATGTGGAGAGTAGTGGAGCCACGCCCACAGCCATGAATGAATAGAACGAAAGAGAAGGCTTAGCACGAGAGAGAATTTCAAACCCAGGTGAGAGATGTAACGGAGGAAGAGATAGATCTCCCTTCAGTTTATATAAAAACAACGATAATCTGATAAAAACAACGAGAATATGATGAAACCCCACCTTATCAAGTTTTATATGTTGCCGTCAAGGAGTCGCGAACTGCAAGCAAGATTTCTTGAATATTTCAAGACAAAATAAAATAAAATGCCCACAGCAGAGCACCTGGAACATCGAATTTAGCAATCCCAATTTCAATCAATTGAGCATGATCATTGATCTACAATTATTTCAATCAATACAGCGAACACAAAGTTCGGCTCTCCCAAGTTCAGGAGAGCGTCTCCTCCTTGGCGCTTCTGAATCGTTTATGTCTACGGTCACACCACAACTTTCTCGATGGAAGAAAACTGGTGGTCGTTCCAGTTACACAATCCACAAACTCTCGATGGTAGAAAACTGGCGAGAGTATGTTCCGACATGTCAAGCAAGATGTAGAAGCTTCGAGAGTTTCCGATCGAAGGAAGACTGAATTTGGACGCCATGATGAAGACAATCTTTGGCACGGCCCCCTCTTAAGATGATGGCAATCTCTGGCAGGGGCACGTCTTAAGATGATGACAATCTCTGGCACGCTGCGCCCCTCTTAAGATGGATGGTTTGGCACGGACCCCTCTTAAGATGATGGCAATCTCTGGCACGGGCCCCTCTTACTGCAGGGCAGGGCCAACCTCAACGGTAACGCCACATGTCAGATGATGGAAATCCCTGGCACGGACCCCTCGTAAGCCAGTCCTGACCCGATGACGAGTGGATGGCGCCGACTTTAAGGCCGAAACGGAATCCCACCCACCTGTCAAATAATGCCACGTGTAACGAAACAGATTCGGTGTGAATTCTCGGGTTACTCTACAATTTCAAGAACAAGTGACCTGCTTGGCTTGCTACGACTGCAGCAGAACTAGCTATCGGGAGGGAAAATGCGTGCGCCACAGAGCTCTTCATCAAGCTATCGATGAAGAACGAGTGCTTACTCTACAATTTGAACGCACGTTTCGTGCTATCGTTGCACGTACACACTTTGCCACCAATTCTTTGTCTCCCTCTCCATTAAACGAAATGAAGAGATGGGTTCTTCGCCCAGCAAAAAATTCTCTAAGCACTGATTTCTTCGCAGTTCTGCGTGGACAGAGCGTCCAGTAGATCATTTCTTGTCAAGCGTGTGTGCTGCCAATTCTCAGGTCACATA